TAAGGCACTTGTTACTACTAGCGATGCACTTGTTCCTAGTAGCTTCTTGTTACTACTAGTAAGGCACTTGCTACTACTAGCGATGCACTTGTTCCTAGTAGCTTCTTGTTACTACTAGTAAGGCACTTGTTACTACTAGCGATGCACTTGTTCCTAGTAGCTTCTTGTTACTACTAGTAAGGCACTTGCTACTACTAGCGATGCACTTGTTCCTAGTAGCTTCCTAGTAGCTTCCTCCGGTCCACGGTCGCCCGCTCGGTCGCCGTCGCTCCGCTCGCGCGCCTCCGCCGGCGCGGGTCTTCGGGAGCGCAGCGCGGCGTTCCGGAAGCGCTCCTGAGGGCGAGAGGGCAGCCGCGGTTGGTGTTTAGTTGTTTCTGATGACTTTGAAGAAACGGATTGTGACTTTGGTGCAGGTTTACGTCTGGAGTGGTTTCTGGTGACTCTGGTTTGGTCTTAAGAGGAGGATTTATGTAGGCCCCAGTAGGTGGAGGAACGCTTGTTTTTTGTGGTTCATCTGTATATAAGTCAAGTTGACCTAAAGAGGAAGTGATCGAAGTGTTCTGCAAAATGCAGAGCCTTAGGGAGTTGAAGGGGAGGAAACCCGATGGGCAACATCTACCAGCATCCTCCAACAGGCCACCCATTATACCATGGAGAGACTTGTGGGAGGGTGCTGGTAGTCTACCCTCACCAAACATTAAACTCTCTTGTGCTCAATGCATCTCGCGGCTTTTGACCAAGGTCCGGTGATGTTTTCGTCCAGCCTGACCGTCCGGTGTAAGCTGGTGCAACCTCGATGTTTTGGGTCGCAGCACCCCCGGCGCCATGCCTTTATGCATGCCTTTAGCTTTCGTTGTGTTGACGTCACTGGTACTTGCAAACGCTCTTGATGCTACGCCATGCCCAGAGAGATGTAGCACTTCAAATTGAAATGCAAAAAGTCAGACGAGTCCTGCGAAAACTTAAGTCGTATCCAAAACTGTTCAAAACTGTTGCTAAACACCCCAAAAACGCACCTTCCGAGCAACCCTTTCAGCACTTTCACCTCCTCCAAAACAACAATGTCGGTAATAAGAACACGTCAAAAACGTGGAAAATAAGCAAATGCCAGCAATCAACAACTTGAAAAACACACACACTCAAGCGCACGTCCCCCTTACGGGCGCTTGAGAGAATGGTATCAACTCCAGTAAAATCAGTGCAAAATGACCTGCACAATTATATTGTATTAAGCCAACAATCAATGACTTGCTAATTGATTTCCTGAAAAGTTGATCACACTTTTATAACCTCCGTTCCAAGAACCTCCCACAAGCTGACTGGCCCCTGACCACCGACCATGCCTGGTCGTGCAGGCACTTGAGCAACGCGCATGTCGGGAAGTCCAATGCCTGTAGCAACGGCGTTCAGCGCCGCAAAAAAAAGAAATCCGAGCAGGACAACACCGGTAGCCAGCGGCCGCTAAAAAGTCCCCCACGTTCCAGGTTCACAGGACAATCTCTCTCTCTCTTTCTCTCTCTCTCTCTCGCTGGGATGTTGGTCTACCAGTGGTCTACACTGGCCCAGGTGGTAGTTCTGCGGCTAAAAAGGTTTTCCTTAGGCCCATCATCTTGCTTCGGTGGAAGCTGAACCCCCAATCACATGCAACAACTGGGTCCTTGGATCCCTCCGTTTTTGGATGGTCGAACGGAGGCGAGTAGGTACGAAACCAGGTCGAATGGTCAAAAGGCGAGCGGCACGGACGCCCAACGGATTGTCCACGGACGCCCACCTCCACGGGATGGTTTCACTCCACTCGGACATGTCAAGCCGAATGAGAAGAGAAGTGGATGGCTGGAAGGTTGGTCGACGCCAGCAGGTTGGTCGGATTTCAGGGCTCAGAAGGGCTCAGAATTCGACCCCAAAGCCCAACGATCGACAAGATGTTGTGAGTCGACACGTTGTGTGGGTACCCCGAAGCATGTCCAAGCTGCGTGAGGCTCAGTCAAAAGCCTCAAGTTAATCGACTCGCATAGAGTTATAGAGTCGCATAGAGTTTCTGAAATTCAGGGGTCGGTCGGAAATATGACTCGAGACTCTCAACCTAGAGCAGGGCCCTCCGCTTTTTTGACACTCCAACCACATCCTGACAAGGGGGGCCGAACTACCTTCTGAGGATGCGGGAGCCGTGTCTTTTTGGAAGAATCCACTTTGTTTCAACCACTTCTTTGAAAACTGAATGAAGGAAGCTATCGAATAGTCTCACTCGGCTAAGGGGCCAAGTCTCATGTGGGGCCATCCTCAGAAAAAATGAAAAAACAAACAGCTTCTTGTACTAGTAGTAAGAATGCTACTAGTAGTTATGCCCTTTGCTCCTAGTAGCTTCTTGTTACTAGTAGTATGGCCAGGAGCTACTAGTAGCTTCTTGCTCCGTTCCTAGCGATGTCCTTTGTTCCTATAGTAGCTTTGGAAATGGTACTGATCAGGTTTGGATATATCGGATAGACTCTATCTCTGGTCTACAGGTCCAGCCTGACTCCGTACAGCCTGGTCCTGAAAACCTCATTGAGTTGGTTCTCGGCCAAACTGACCGTTTGAGGCTATTGAATAATGCTTCCACATGGGAAACCACAGGATTTGGGTTGCTCTGTGACTATCCAAGAACACCTATAAGAACACTTCTCCCCACACTGTCTTTTGAAAACGCTTCGTGCTAAGCACACTGCTCTTGTCCGCTGTCTCCGGTGGAACAGATTCCCCGCACGACCAGTCCCGGTCGTCCGGGAGTCGTCCCCACCGCCTGGCACGTTCACAGCCTGGCGGATCGCCTGGGTTGGCGTCATTGGCGAAGCGACCGACCGGCCTGGAGCGGTTCCGACGCTGTCCCTTGAAGCTGGAAACAATGAAAACACATTCCACCATGAAGGGGATTTGAATGGATTTAACATGATTTAACCAGGGAAAAGAAAGGAACATATGGGAAAATAAACAATCACCATAAGCAACACCTGAAAAATCATGGAAGCATTTAAGCATACCCTGGAGCCGGTCCAGGACCGGGCCCAGAAAAACCTCATTTCGAGTCATGTTTTGGTATCATCGACTCTAGTTTTATTCGAGGTCAGTTCCTGACCTGTATAGGCTGTATAGGGATACTGATGATGACTGCAAATACATTCCACTATAAATACATGGAGTGTCTGCCGAAAGAGTGACTCAGACTCCATGCTCCACAAGCCTGTGGCCTGTGACAGGTACCAACGAGTCTAAGCTCGTTTGCCCAATGCCGCTGCCAAGATTTACCGCCGTGGCCAGAATCTTAAGCTGCCTCAATCGTTGTTTGAGACTGACATACGAACAAACAATCTCAACCATGCTCCAAACAAAGGGTATTTCCCAATTCTCTGTACACAGGAGCAGTCTTCCGCTTCCCTCGCAACCCATGACTAGGTCATTCCCCATGTCACGCATGCTTCATGTGTGCTGCGACGACGTGCCCAACAAACGCGCGTTGCGCCCCCAAGGGGCGCGTTGAGGCCTTTTCCGACCGCAACTCGGACGTGCGCTCCGGTGGTGAAACCTAGACGACTGATATCTACGCGACCGAAGGTGTCGGTCCGGGCCCCGGTGACGTGGGGCGTGATGGCCACGCGTCGCTTTCACTGAAGACTGACACAAGCAGTTGTTCCCTGCCTCTTTGGGGGGGGCCGCCATAGCAAACAAAGGAGGATACACTCAAGGTTTGTTGATTCAAAACGTGAACTGCCCGCAGCAAAAAACAACCTTTTGCGCCAAGCAGGCCCAATCTACTGGAACAAACTTGAAGGAATTTTGAGTCAAGGGAAACTTGTGACTAAAATGCCTACAGTTGTCAGCCTTCCCTGATCTCTTCTTTGCACTTTGAGGCCAGCTAGCTTGTCGTGCTCACATGCCGAAAATGTCCAGATGCTTCAGGTGCGTTGATTCTTCCCAGTGAGAGCCGGGATATGACTCATGACTTAGGATAAACTAGTAACAAGAAACTACTAGTAGCCAAAGGCATCGCTACTAGAAACAAGGGCATCGCTATTAGTAGTTATATTTAGGAACAAATTTTCGCCGCATCTCCGGTGAACCCCATTTTGCCACCGTCACTCTCGGCCCGGAGTCCCCAAGCTTCCCGCGTGGCACGCGGTGGCTGAAGACCACCGACGAAGACCCACACAAAGCGCCGGCTCACCACTTGCCTTTGCCACCTGCTGAAGGTGAGAGAGGTGAATGCTACATAAACGTGAGAAAACGAAACACATCAGTAGGCATCGCGTGTTCAATAACCTAGGCAAGTGCAAGCTGGACATGATTTTTGCAAGGTCATCTGAACCACATGTGGACAAGAAATGTAATGTGGAGAACGATTCAAGAAAAGGTGTTGGTACACTTGCACTCTGCAGGCGCCATACATAAAGCATTGATGTGCCGAACAAGCAAGTCAACTCGCAAAGAAGCCAAACGATGTTTCACTTGATCGACGATATGGCTGATAATCTTGAGCGTTGAAGCTTTGAGGAAAGGTAGTGATCCACGCGGCAAGTCTAGTAGTGACAAGTCACTGGGCCGCACTGATACTTTGGGATGAACAAATGTGAAATGCACACTGGAGTCCACCTGGCCTCTTGCTTGACAGATACTCACTGACCCAACTTGGGGAATCTTGAGGAGAGTTCTAGAGTCGAACCATTACGCATCTGGATGTAGCTCCAAAGCTCAAAAACACAAGCCCACACTTTTTAAACATCTTTTCCTTCACCAATGGGTCCTGGCAGGTATGCACTTTTCCCTACCTGCCAGGTGAGGGTTGTTAGGTTTTATCAGAGCTCTTCTCTTCCTCCTTCTCCTCTTCCGCTTCTTCTTCCTCCTCCTCCTCCGCCGCACCACCTCAACAGCAAGCTGCAGTGTGCACTACCGGACCTCAACCGCAAGCGTCAGATCGCAGTGGGCACTGGCTGGCGGAACTCAACACACAACACAACACATAACCAGATACACAAACCACAAACACACAAACCACGGCACACAGAACCAAACCACAGAACACAGAACCACAACACACAACCACAGCACACAACCACAAGACGCAGCCACAACACGCAACCACAACACTCAAACAATCACAAACACACAACTACAACAATATAACTACCTGTGTTTGTGCGGCGTTTTTGTGTGGCAGGTAGTCACAGGGTAGCGCTTTTGGACGCCAACTGGGCAGCCTGGCGACACCCCGACGCGAACTCCCTAACACGCAAATAAGAATCAGGACCCACAAGCAAAATCGAAAACCACGCAACATGCTTCTCACCACGGCATGAAAACATATGATTGACATGTCATGGTGGGGATCACTCGAAGCAGAACCATGGCTCATGTCGGACCGGAAGGGAAGTTCAAAGCGGCTGGTGAAGTGCTGGGGCGGCCTGGGGTTTGGGGGCAGGAGCTCCTTAACAGTACATGGGAAAAAAACATGTATGAATCGCCTGAATCGCTGACTTGTCCCAAAGAAGATCCTCCACCGCCACCATCAAACACACCCAAACGTCTTTATGAACCATTTGTAAGGTCTACACCCTAGCTTGGCTTAGATCAGTTTGGTCAAAACATGTCAAAACTTTTTGTTACCCCTAAAGGACATTGGCTTCATTCAGCTGAGCCGAAGCACCAAGCTGGTGAACCTGTTCTTTGTTGCCACTTCGTCTCCAAGGCACCTTTGCCCCAGGGCATGGCAGGCATGCCCCAGTCACCTTTGCCTCAATGTACGTTAATCTGGACTCGGCGTGGTCCCCATTCCAAGAGACGGGAAGAGAGAAAGTCAACATATAGTCTTTTGGGGGTTTGTGCTCTTTGTGTTTGTTTTATGTTTTTGAGAGAAGACCACGATGAACAACAGTTCGGAGATGAACTCCAGCTATCTGCTCTCCACGACCGTTTGCAGCTTCGGAGTAGCTACCTAGACCGCACAACATTGAACACTGTTTGGATTTGATAGTTCTCAGGTCAAGAGGACGTTGGCATTTTTTAAACACTATTCTTGGTCCCCAGAAATAAGCCTCCCCGCCAAAAAGTGGTCCTTCATTTCGCAGTGCTAGAGCTTTTTGTCCCGTACCCGCTGGCTTCCAAGGAACGTTGCCTGGCCACCCTGGCCCTGCTTTTGGGGGAAGCAAGGAATGAAGGTACTACTGTAGTAGCTTCTTGCTACTAGTAGTAATGCCCTTTGCTACTAGTAGCTTCTTGTTACAAAGCCCGCTTTCTCAAACATCCAGACCACTGAGCAATGTGTCAAAGGCCGGAAAATAAAGACCTTCGCCGACCCCCTTTCGCAATTCCGTTTGCAAGTCCGCATGTTTAACACATTTAGAATCTTATAGCCCTATATAGAGCTATAGAATTGACGTTGCTCAACGACTTGACGTGGCACCAAATATCCCTCCGATCCACGCCACTCCACACGCTTGCTGCCATCGAGTGTCCTCCACCTTTACTCGCTCCCTTGCTCCATGGCGCGGCGCCGCCGCCCTTGCTGCCTTTGCCACCCCACGATGAGTCGCCACCCCAGCTCCAAGAATCGCCGCCCCAGCTGCTCGAGTCGCCCCAATCGCCCATGGAGGCCTCGGTTTGGTGTCCTTTTTCTGTTTGGACACTCAGAACCCATGTGGATCCCAGTGGTAGACCTGATATCCCAGTGCTGATTCAAGTGATAGAAACACGCGAATCGTCGCGATCAAGGTACTGGAATCGGATTTTGGCCCGAGGCACGCGGGTTCCTCTCTGGCTCTCCGGATTTAGTTATAATGCATCTTTATCTTAATGAGACACATGCATAGATTCCAAAGACCTCCTGAGATGTTTCGGAGGCGATGCATCAAACACTTCGAACCGTCCATGGGAACGAAGTGCACCGGATGGGCACTGGCTCCGATTCGATTCCAAACGTCCATCTCGTTCGATTCGAAGGCTAGAAGCCATGGTCGCCATCATCGCCAGCATGCTACCCATGTCGCCCCAGCCGCCACCCTTGCCGCTACCTGCCCGCACGCTCTGGATGCTCACCTGTTGGGGGGGGGGGGGCTGATAAACACCTGACCAGTCAGGTCACCTGCAGTTCTTTTGGAGCACATATTTATAACAGCAAATTGCTCACTGGATCTCAGTGGGATTGAGGATTGATATTGAAACAAGCGCCCAACAGGCTCTGAAGGTGAGCGGTTGGCGGTCAAAAGGTGTCCGTACACATGTTGTTCCTCTTGCTACGAGCGATGCCCATTGTTCCTAGTAGCGTCCTTGCTCCTACTAGTAGCAAGGCCAAATGGCGTCCTCTAGCCCCTAGTAGCGAGGGGAACCCCTCTGTAGAGAGCACCTCAAGGGCACATTTCTCAAAACGGCAAACTCTGCACGGCAAACCTGAGGAATCCCACAAGACTTTACAATGCACCTGTGGAGTTTTTCATACTTTCGAGGCACAGCTGCCGATGACTTAAAGCAGTTAACCTGCGAGACATCAGACTTGCCCTCCACTAGTCCCAAAGCCCGCCCTGTGACATTGGTTTTCAGTTAAACTCAATTTCCCGAGAAAAGGAGTGGCTCAACGGCAAGGTGAAGAGTCCGGTCAAATTGAAGGTGTTTTCAACAAAAGGTTTGTGCGCATCTGCAGACTCGCGACAGCAGCGGACGAGCGGCGGACGGCAGTTGAAAGGCGGCTGTGGGAAAACCTGTTTAAGGGGTAAGAAACGTGAAAGGACCATGAACCAAAACGTGGAAAGTGGAGTCACAGCTTGTACAAAAGTTGAAGCAGGTA